GGATGGATGGTTTGTATGCACCGGTATGGGACGGTGTCATACTAGGGGGATTAGCTCAAAAATGCTAAGTCCTACCTACTCTGGATTAAGGGACGGATTAACTACAAAAGTTAAGTCCTACCTATATTTTGTGTCAGATCAATAAATAATTGAGTGGCACTTTGGTTTGGAATGAAATTTAAATATATTTTTATGATGCCACGATATGAGCCTGAGTCTCAGAGTCGTTGGTTAGGGAGCGTATATGCATTGGGATGCATAGCTGGCTATGATGGTTTGATGTGTACCCTGCTAGGACTAGGTAATCATGCCCACCTTTGGGTGTGTTTTAGCATGGTGCCTACTAGTCAGGTTGAGACGGGCCTGTAGTCCAATGAGAGTCCTGTAGTGTGATTATATATATATATATATATATATATATATATATATATATATATATATATCTACGGACTATTAGCTATTGTTGGATTGGTTAGGATGTACATGCATATCGGGTCTCTGCTTGGGTAGTAGTAGTATAGAACTTGCATGTGGGCCTGACCCACTCATCATTTTTCAGGTATCAGATTTTTCCAGTCTAGAGCTTGTTCGTGCTGAGCAGAGACAATCTTCCATTCTACCGACGACGTAGGACTTCTTTCCAAATATTAGATTTGGATTTTATTTCCAGTTTTTACTTTCATTCAGTTTGGGATTATTTTTTTTATTAGGGGCCCACTAGAGATGGATTCCCGAGTTGTTAAACTGTTGGAGTTTGGGTTTGATGGATTTTAATAATTATAATATTTTGCGGATTCTATTTTTAGTTCCTTTCAGTTTTAATTTCATTTCTTAATTCATTTTGTCGTCTGTGTTCACTTTAAAAATATTAATTGTTTGATATTCCCTCGGATCTGTGCTCGGACTTGATCACCCGTGGCTCTAGAATCGAGGGGTATCACACAAATTCCCCCCAAAACCAAAATTAAGGTTGCCCCCAAAATTGATGTATATATACTGATTCTGAAATTCTTTTCTTAAACATCCAAACTGAAAGGGAAACTGAGAAATTCTCTCTCTATCTTCCTCTTTTCTATATATATATATATATATATATATATATATATATATATATATATATGTTTCTCTCTCTATATCTAATTCTATATCGACGATTCCCTCATTTCCCAGTTGTTTAGCTTTTTGTTCGTGCTCGAACTCAATCTCGTAGACTTCGCAACGGATAAGGACACAAATTTATATCAATATTTCACCCAATATAGCTCTAGATCACAAACTCGACGACTTTTTGCTATTTCTTTTTTCCAATCCACTCAATTTTCGTTGATTTCTCTCTCTGATCTCTGTGATCTACAATCTCGCCAAAACAATCTCAGCACAAAATCGGAGGAGATTCTATAATTACCAGTGGTTCGGAAAAAAAAAAAAAAATAATCGGTGAATCTTCACAGATCTGAATATTCTCACCTGTTCTGCACAAAAATCAAAGTCTTTGATTTTTGCAAAATCTGTGACTTTTTAAATTTGTAATAGCAGATTGTAATGTCGGTAGGTTCAAGTCCTGTTCTTCAAATCCGAAACAACTCGACGGCAGTGGTACCAAAAATCAGTGCACCTTTGAGTTTCAATTTTCAATTTCTCCCCAAAAAGAAAGTTGACCTTCCCCAAAACTCTGCTATATATACTATGTCTGAAATATCAAATAGGAAATCTCTCTTTGAAATTTGAAATCCGGTGAAGAAAATTTTCCCAAAACTCTGGTATTTATGTTTATGTGTAAAAAACTTTCTTGCTGAAGGTCAAAAAGGCATAGCAAATAAAAGGAGATCTAGTCGAAAAAATCACCATATATTCCGGCGATAAGCTAAAATTTTCGAAAAGGAGGGATTTCCCAAAAGTATAATACAAAAGTTATAGAGATCAAATTATTATTATCACAACTTTTTTTAACATGTATAATGTATGAATTGCATCTAGGATCAACATATTTTCTTAACACGTTAAAAAAAATTAATTTTTACATCAAATTATTATTATCACAACTTTTTAAAATATGTATCATGTATGAATTGCATATAGTATCAACATATTTTCCTAACATGTTAAAAAAAATAACTTTCACAACTCAATTTCACAATTCCTAAATTAATAATAAGAATCACAAATACTTTCAACATATATGTAGGAAGATTTGCATATATGTAAGAAGATTTGCATATTCCATCATTTACTTTTTGTAACAGCATACAATACAAAAGTTGGAGAGATCAAATTATTATTATTACAACTTTTTTAAACATGTATTATGGATGAATTGCATATAGCATCAATATATTTTCCTAACACGTTAAAAAAATTAATTTCCACAATTCAATTTCACAATTCCTAAATTAATAATAAGAACCACAAATATTTTCAACATATATGTAGGAAGATTTACATATTTTATCACCTATTTTTTGTAACAACATACAATACACAGTTGAAGAGATCAAATTATTATTATCACAACTTTTTTAAACATGTATCACGTATGAATTGCATATAATATCAACATATTTTCCTAACACGTTAAAAAAATTAATTTCCACAACTCTAAAATCTATATAATTAGTCAATTATTTCAAAACCCTAAAATCTCAAATAAATTTATATTTAGATACTGAACTGTACCAATACATAATCAATCTTTAAGATTTGTAATTTTACTCAAAAGAAATGTAATAAAATATTTTTGTATATAATATATTGTTATACATATATTTAGATCATGAACTGTAATTTGTATATATATAATGTATAATTGTATGTTGTATGGAGATTTGTAATTTTACTGAAAAGGAATGGAATAAAATATTTTTGTGTATAATATATTGTTATACTTATTTGGATAGTAAACTGTACCGATATATTTTTGTACTTAAGATTTGTATATATATTTTTGTATATATAGAATGTATAAATGTATGTTATATAGAGATTTGTCATTTTACTGAAAAGGAATGGAATAAAATATTTTTGTATATAATATATTTTTATATATAAGATTTGTATATATATAATATTTTTTTGTATATATATAAGGTGTGACCGCCATGGATGGACCAGTGTACGTGAGGGGAGGTTTTGATGTTTGATTTTGAAAAGATAAGTTTGAGAGAGAGAAAACAAAGATAAATAGGAGAGAGGAAATTGTCTTGTACAAATGTATTTGTATATGGTATTTGTGTGTATAGTAAAAATGAGTGTAACTCAATAATTTGACTAGACAATGACTAAATCATGATGTGGCAAAACATGCATAGGTGGCACCATCACAGTCATTAAATCCTCACTGAATCTACTTCAGTGAGAGATGTACTGGAGCAAATTCACATCCGTAACATGCAAGTTATGAAATTTGGCTTATAATAAAATCGTAATTTAGTAATACTTTTTAACGTAAAAAGTTATAATTCAAGAATATTTTAAGCAAATAACTCTGAATTGAAAGAGTGAAGTATGAGCCTATATATCTTTCATATTCAACCACTGTGATCATGTTGAATTAATCGTGAAATTTTGATTATGACATAAATTGAAAATGATTTGACGTTTACTTTGAAATACAAAAAATAATAATAATAATAATAAATATATCATCCAACTTGGAAGGATTTTTTTTTTCTTATCTTGGATGGATGTTGGGGAATACAAATTTCTTAGCCGACGTCAAAAGAAGTACTACGTATGATGACTCAAAAATAATTTATCAAATTTGTGTTAGCGGGCTCGTTTGGGAAGTGTAGTATAATGTAGTGTACTGCTCTATCTAGTCTAGAACAGAACAAGTATTTTGTAGTGTAATGTTCTGAAATGGGAACAAAACATGTTTGAAACAAAAATTTGGAGTGAATTTTGGAATAGAAATTAATAATTTTTTTTGGATGATTAAATTAAATTAATTACAGAGCTTCATTAGTTTGCAAAACAAGAATTACAGAGCTTGATTAGTTGATTTAGAAAAAAAAAAAAAAAAAATTAAAACAAAACCCATACACACAAGTTAGCAGTTGCAGAGACAGAGGGGGCAATCTTAAGAGTTAAGACCCATACACACAAGCAAACGCAAACACAGTGGAACAGCGAAAACCTATACACACAAGGTAGCTCTCTCTCTTATTGCATAACTGTACTTCAAACTAAATATTGACTCTACCGTAACAGGTCTGGAACAGGGTGAGAGCAAAGCTCACATCAAATAAGAGACCCGCCCCTCCTCTTGCATCTCTAGTCAAACAATATTGTAAATTAGTATATATATGTTCAAAAAAATGTCTCAAAGAAAGGTGGACCTGACACTTGACCGAAAGATATGGGTTTTGAACAATCTGAAATGAAACCCATTCTTGTAGATTTTGTAGTTTGCAGTTGCAGAGAGGGAGAGAGAGGGCAACTGATTCTTGTATATTTTGTAATTTGCATTTGCAGAGAAAGAGAGAGAGCAAGTTCACTGTTTTTTTTAATCTGAAATTAGGGCAAGTTCAGAGTTGAGAACGAGAATAGAGATGGAGGCGATTAGGAGGCTGAAATGATTTGCCGTGAAATCGCCACTGGGAGGCGATTAGGGAGTTTTTTTTTATCTGAAATTAGGGCAAGTTCAGAGTTGAGAATGAGAATAGAGATGGAGGCGATTAGGGCAAGTTCAAAGTTGAGAACGAGAATGGAGATGGAGGCGATTGGGAGGCTGAAAATTTTATTATTATCTCGCTACAGTAAAAATAAATAGGTCTGGAATAACATAGAACACCAAATTATTGTTTCAGTTTTTGGGCAAAATTTTGAATTTGTTCCTTAGTATTCCACTACTGTTGAGAACATAACAAATTGAGTCCAAACAACATGTGTTCTGAAAATGAGCACAGTAGGGAACACTACAACACACTAACCAAACAGGGCCTTAGTAACACATGTATAGATGCCAATGGCACACCAAACCACCGCTTTGGTGGTCTGTCCAAAATTTTGGCTTCTTTTGACGACATTATCGCATATCAAAGGAGGATATTTTTGTCATTGTCCATACTCATCTTTAACTTGGCTAAAAATATTCATTTAATATTATTAACCCTGAAAACACACACCTCTATAAATTTCGAAAAAAAAAAAACACACACACCTCTATATATATATATATATATATATATATTCATTTAATATTACTGACTACTGAGAGTCTCTTCAGCCACTTTACCATTTTATCAGTTACTCTCCCCTGTTCCTCCAACTCTGACCATCCCACGACTACAATCACTACAAAAACCAAAACCCTCTGAATGAACGAGTAAAACTGACATTGGGACCCTCCAAGAACCCCTGAAATCTCGATTTCCGAGGGAAATGGCGGAAACCCAGTTGGCACCAGTGGCGGTGGTAATGGTGGTGGTGGTGGTGTGGAGCTCGTCGGCAATGGTGGCGGAATCGGGCATAGGGGTCAACTGGGGAACCATATCGTTCCACAAGCTATCACCTTCCACGGTTGTGGATCTCTTAAGAGACAACAAGATAGGGAAGGTGAAGCTGTTCGATGCCGACCCAGATTCGATGAGGGGAAGTGGGATTGAGGTCATGGTTGGGATCCCCAATGAGATGTTGGCTGTCCTCAGCTCCTCTGCCGCCGCTTCCGACTTCTGGGTTCGCCAGAATGTGTCCGCCTATATGGTTAAGGGCGGTGTTAACATCAGGTCTGTCTTTGGGACTCTCTCTCTCTCACTTTTTGCTTGTACCTATTCTGTTATTATTCTTGTTTTGTTGAGAGAAAGGAAGATGATACTTAGTTAATCAGAGTTAACGTTCCCACTCTACTAGAGTTATGAGATACTTGGGCTTAAATTTGTAAAATAATTAATCCCATCTTGTCATAAATTTGTGAAACAACTAATACTATATCTCGAATCTAACAATGGAAATCATCTGCTGAAATAAGTAAAATGAATTGAAACAGTGGGAAAAAATCCGTCGTAATTTGCTGCTTTAGAATGATGAAGACAAGCTACAATAATGCTATTGCGATTTAAGTATTGCATGTTAAAACTCTTTGATAGGTAGGTATGGAAGTGAGTGAGATTTTTCACTCCCCAAAAGTTCCCCAACACTCCACTTACGCTTTTTAATAAAGAAAATAACATACTTACTTGGATATCTCTGACACGCACAACGGCTTAAAAGCATTTCCAACAATTTTGGTAACAAGATGAATACACCATGAAGTGTCCAATTTTTATTTTTATTTTTCCATAAAAGAAAATTTGGTATGTTTAACCATGACCACCACAACTCAAGCATGCCGTGAACGCTTGTTATACAAGACAATACTTATTTTAAGTAGGACAGTTGCATTAGTATATCTAATTTAATAATTGTTCTATTTCATTTTCTATGTTATGCAATTCTTAATACAGAAATTAGGAAGTTAATCAAAGTTCTATCCTTTTCGTTTATAACTTGCACTAGGTGGCGACAATATTGGGCAACGATTACTTGAGCTAGCATCAAAACTTATTTCAATATTTTGTGTATTCTTTTAGTTATTAAGGATTTAACTTTTTGGTGCCTATAAACAGGCATAAATGTATCAGTCTATTAGTTATGTATGTTGTTCAAGTTTGATTGAGTGAATTGAGATTGTATTCTTCTTTTCTCCTACTTTCGTCTCCCCCAATTATTCACTCTCTCTCTCTCTCTCTCTCTCTCTCTTGCCCTGCATCACAAGTCAAAAGGAATATTTGGACGGGATGTCTCCAGTAATGATTTTTTGCTGTTCCGTACAGTTGTAAAATTGATGGTAATTTTGTAAGTGAGGAGAGAGGAAGATGCTAGAAATTTGATTGATCGAGTTATAATTTTCTTTTTAATTTGAATGTCGATCATGGAAGCTGACTAACAATTACCTTCATATCGATTGAATTTAGACAATACTTGGAACAAATACCTGTGACTTCACTTGTTGCATTGTTCTGGTTGAAAAAGTGTTTGGAAATAATAATTTTTTCAAAACACTCCCGGTTTGATATTTCTTTTATTGAACTAACATTGGAATCTGATGCACTGAGTGTTGGGATTTATATGCCCTGGCATAGCAAATTCCTGTTTGGATTAATTGACATATGTTCCTGACGTTTCTGAGATATTTATGTTTTATACAATTGGTGAATTCAATGTATTATATTTCGATTCACTATGAAATTGATAGTGTCCATGTAATTACAAGAAATATTTATATATATGTATGTGATGGCAATCAATGCATGATATATAAATAGTAATTATAAATTGTTCATAGTTGGTAATTATGGATGGACTCATAATTAATTAAGACTTGAACTGGATCCGCGTTAGGTTGAGATATATTGCGAGAGCCGTCGTATGCAATTACTCCCTATCACCGTCATGGCATTTGACTCTTAAGCATGAGAAAAATATAGACTCTTTTATTAATTAATAATTACTTTGATTTGTTCGGCGGATTCTTCGGGATCCTTAGACCGACACTTCGGGTAGTTATGTAATTAATAGTTAGAGGGTTATATTTTCAATATTTGCATCATTGTTACTTGTATTTATTTTGTATTGATTATGGTTGATCACAAAGTAAATTCGAAGGCCTTCGTATGATTTTAGACAAAATGATTTATTATATATTTATTTATTAAATTATTATTTTTGTCGAACAAATGTTTTATTGTGATCGAGCCAGAAATAATCAAAGGTACCAAAATAAATATATTAATTAAGTAGTCGGATTGATGGCATTATTTATCCGATAACTAATTATGCATAGAGGGGTCAAAGTGCAACATTGACTTAGAGGTTATTTATTATTTAATTGGAGTTCAATTAATTTCTTTTAGTGGAGTAGAAATTAATTTATGAATTAATTTAATTGGGTCCATGGACCGGGCCAATCATTAATTCATTGTAGCCAATAAAATAATAGGCCCAATGGATTCTCACTCATAGCCTAACTTGATATTGGAATCATATTAGATTTGAGACATGTGAATTAGAGATTGAGAAGGATTAGTTGTTTCCTTTTCTTTACCTTTATGTTGCCTATAAATATACATGGTGTATGTATATTTTAGGGGTGATTTTGATGAAAAGGAAAAATGAATAAATTTTCTCTCTCTAGAAAATTAGGGTTTATGTTCTCATCTAATGGAGGCTCCCACAAGCCTAGTTTTTCAAGGTCATTCATGGAGGCATATGAGTGATTTCTAAAGGCAAAACAATTACCAAGAAGATGGAGATCCAAGGAGAATGCATCTTGTTAAGGGATCTACAATAAGTGAGAACATTCACTTTAGAGGAGAGATCTAAGGTTTACTCAAACCTTGATGTAAGTATTCAATCTTTTAATTGAATGATACATCATGTTTTATTTTTGCATAAAACTTGTCTCTATGTAATGAATCAAGATCTATGAATTTAAATCCCTCAAAAAGTTTTTAAAACTAGCACGTTTCCCAACAGTGGTATCAGAGCATAGTTTGATTCATTACTAGAGATCATGATTTTATGAAAATCATCATTCATGGATCCAACATTATATTCATATATATTTTTATTGATGTATGTTGATGTATGATTTAATATGTTGATATATATTGATACATGATGATGTATGAATAATTGTGAATGAATGATGATGTATGGTTGGGCCATAGATGAAGCTTATAGGAATATTGAATGTAATTTTATCTTTGGATGAATGTAATTAAGGGTTTGATTTAGCCGTTTGAAAGTTCAATGATGTAATTTATTTTTCCCATTGTATTTCAAGTTGTAAATATTTTTAAAGCCATGTAATATTCATTAAAGGATGCTATGAAGCTTCAAGAAGGTCCAAAAGGGTTAAATTATGCTTCAGTAATTTTCTGGAATTTTTCTGAATTTTTTGGAATTTTTCTGGAATTTTTTGAGGCTTAATTTAATTTTTTGGGAATTTTTCTGATTTTTCTTGAATTTTCGGCGACCGGAGTATGGTCGGCGACAAGGGACAGCTCCGGAAGGTGGACGGATGATCCGGTGTGGTGCGGTATACATGAGCGCACATCAGCAACCGTCGGATCAAAGTTCAGCGAGGCAAAGATCCAGTGGAGTGCGGCTGGAAGTTGCCCCATGCACCAGCAGTAGCAAGGCGCGTGCATGACACGCGCCGGAACCACAGCAGCGTGCATGGTGCGTGCCAGCGCGTGGAACGCGCTGGCAATTCGCACACGCGCATGAGAGCGCGTGGCACGCGCTTCAGCATTCTCCCAGCGCGTGGCACGCGCTGGAGACCTCTAGAGACGCGTCCAGGCGCGTGAAGAGGTTGGAAGGCGCGTGGTAAGCGCGTGTTAGTGCGTGTAAGACCTTTCAAGCGCATTCGGACCGCCGTTTCGCTTCTCCTAGTGCGTACCAGCCTTATGTGGGTGTTTGCAAGCCGATGGATGATCTTCCCGTAATACTTAGAGTAGTAAAATGTTAAAAGCTGATTCCATTGGCTATTTTATTTGTTTTATCTGTCATTTATTTATTTATGCGATGTATGAAATGCATGGAATATATAATTGTTAATTAATTATTATTCATGCATTGGATCCATGATATTTATTTAAATGGCTTGATTTATATTAATTAAGTTATGAAAATTAATTGGATTTGATTACTAATTAATTTGAGGGCACCTATTGGGAAACGCAAAATTATTTTTGTAAATTATTTTTAAAGTGTGCTTCAAATTAAATATTAGTGAATCGTTTAAAGTCCAAATATTTTCTAAATTTAATTGGATTAAAATCAAGACGTTTTGCATGCATTATATCATGTGAATAAATAAATTCAAAACCCTAATTATGAATGATTAAAAATTGAGTGGGAGCGGGATTTTTATACATTACTCTATGGCCTTCGTTATTAAAACCATTGTAATTAGATTTTCAAAAATAAGGCCCCACGCATGATTTGAAGAGTCTTAATATTACAAGAATTGTTATCTCATGAAAAATAATAATATTAAATTTTCATTGTAATTAGATCTTTAAAAATAAGGCCCTACGCATGATTTAAAGAGTCTAGATTATAATGACAAGATCTTTAATGTTTTATTTTTCATTAGAGCATTAATAATGTTATACACTCAATCTAAAATCAATAGTGTTAGCTCCCCAACGGAGTGGTTTACACTAGGTGATTTTAGAAAGGCTAAACATAATCGGGAATCATTTCATATGGATAGACAAGGCATTGTCTTCAGAGATATGGAGATGATGGGATTTGTCCGCCAATAGCAATAATGAACTTCGCCTACCAAATAAGTTATTGGTGTATTGGTTATCCGATTTTTCATGCAGTGGTTAAGGGACCCACATACTATTTTAATGGAAGTGCTCACCTAATAGTAGATGAATCTCAACAATAGTAATAATGAACTCCTCCAACAGGATAAGTTATTGACATATTGATTGGTTGATTTATTTTGCTACAGAGTTGAGGGACCCGCATTAATTAAAAGGGATTGTTCACCAATAATGATAATGATCTCTTGTTCAATTGGGATTTATTATATTGTGTGGTTAACAAACTCATTTTAATTTTAAATATGCATGACAGTATTAATAATTCACCTTGCATATTGTATGAATGTATTTATATTCAGATTAATTATGTCTAATCCAGTTTATCTGCTTGCTTACATATTCAATGTAACTGGATCTCATTAATATTGACTGAGAAAGGAACTTAGATATTTTATTCACAATGTGGTGGTACAAATGTATTTACTACTCCTAAACCTAATCCTTTTACTTTAAGATACCTAAGAGAACATTAATGCTTTGAATAAGTGAAATAAGGCAAATGAGATGACTTGGTGCAATATTCTAGAGATTACCTTGAATACGCTCCAAAGCTAACATTTACATTATTTTATTTTCTTCAAGCATCATGTTAAATGTCAATAAGATGTTTTGGTGAGATTAGATAGAGAGTATGCCAAAGTACTATGTCAGACTTGAATAGCATCAAGATAGCCTAAGGAACTCCAGTATGAAATCGAATTTTGGAAAATGATTGTTTATTATTTAAAATAAGCTGGAGATCAATAGGGCTGACTTGGGTGGTAAGTTTCAAGTTGATATGATTATTGCCTTGTTACCAAACTCGTTCGACTCTGTTAGAGTGAACTAAATAAGGAATCAGTTTGAGTTCACACTCGCTGATATTCTTATAGAATTGGTAACAGAAGAAGGGATAATTAAAAGTATGGGCGTTCCTATCAATCTAACCTAGTCTATACCATCTTCTTCTAGGCCCAAGTGGACGGGCAAATAATGATAATAGGACTAGGCTAGCACAAAACATGTGTATCCAAAAGGTTAAAGGGAATAAGGCAGTGTATGTTGAGGGCAAAGAAAACTGTTTCTTTTGTCGCTAACTAAGACATTAAAGGACAAACTGTCTAAGCAATGACGTGGCATAGGAAAATATATATTTAATCATTGAGCCAGGTTCTGTGGTTATATCTATTAATTTCTGATGAATAGATTCTGGAGCCACTAAACATGTTTGCAATTCATTGCACGGATTTCAGGAATCCAGAAGCCTCGATGATTTGGAATATATTTGTACTGAACCTGATGTCAAGGTTGTAACTAAGTCAGTGGGAGTATTACATCTGAAATTAGAGAGTATGAGGATATTAGTATTAGAGAATTATCTTTATGCACAGAGGTTAGACGCTATCTAATTTTTGTTTCACTTGTGGCTTATAAAAACTAGATCGTTATTTTGTAAAACTGGTTTTATAAAATTGAATAGATATGCGATTGCTTCTGGTGCATTGAAAGATGGTTAATATATTATAATCACAAGCTCTTAAGATTTGCAGGATGTAGAAACTAATGTTGCATCTTCTAGATTGAATGTTAAGAGAAAATTTGTTATTCCTGACTCATTGTATTTTTTTGGTGTCTATTTTTGGGTTGTAATCAATCAAAATGAGATTTAAAGATTGGTTAAAGAAGGTTTATTACCTAGTGAGGCAGAGGAGCCTAAACCAAACTTGTGAATCTTGTTTTGAAGGATAGATAACTCTAAGGGCTTAATCAGCCAAATGAAATAGACATAAAGAACAATTGGAGTCGGTACACACGTACACGTGTAGTCTTATGAACATCCAATCAAGATTACTCACGTTTTGGATAAATTTACCTGTTGCGACACAAGTCTTATACTTTTGGTATATTCCGAGAGGGTCAAGACTGATGTGGAGCACAGATTAGGTAAACTTATCAAGACACTTCGATCTGATCGAGTATTTGAGTATTTCTTGGGATAGTGCAAAGACTATATGGTCAATGAGGGTGTTGTGTACCAGTTTTCCGCAATTGACGCCAAATTAATTTAGGTGTCAAATAGGAATAACAGAATTCCACTTAACATGGTTAGATCTATGATCAGTTATGCCACATTATCTCTTTCATTTAAGAGTTTAGCGTTAATGACATCGATGCGCATTATGAACTGCATTCCATCTTAGTCTGTCTCAAGGATACCGTTGAGCTGTGTTTTTGACTAAATCTTAGTTTGAATCACATGCACATATGGGGTAGTCTTGCACATGTGCGCTTGATATGGACAAGTAAGTTGGAAACAGATCATATGCATGATAGATTTGATAGCTACTCTAAAATGTCACTAGGACGGATTATTTTATGATCTCAATGATAAAAGTTGATTGTTTACACTCACTGTTTATCTATAGGAGAATCATATTATGAATCACATACCTAGTAGCATAGTGTTAGAGAATATGGTAAGAGTACCAGAAGTACCACATATGAACACACTTATTATAGAAATTGAGAATAATATATGAATTCCCTATTAATGCGTTAGCATCATCGATTTCTGCATCGGTACATTGATGTAGTGGGAGGATTATCATCCAATTCGACAGAATCATGTTTTTAGGTGAGACCATTATGGACATCCCTGTTAAACATGAGTTGGACCCAGTAAGCTACACGAAAGCGTGAACCGATGTGGATACAGGTCGTTTTGGTGAGTTACTATGAAATCAGAGTTGGAATCTATGTATTCTAATAAATTCTGGGATCTTGTAGAACTTTCTAGTAGGGTGATTCCTATAAAAGGCAAGTTAATCTACAAAAAGATACCAGAAGATTTCTTAGTGAATAAATCATGAGTGTACAGGGAATGTCATTATTTTTCTAATTCTATATATATTGATGACATCCTACTCATTTAGAATGATGTGGAAGTTTTGTCATTAATAAAGAGGTAGTTGTTCAATTACTTTTAAATGAAGGATTTTCAGGATGTAAGCTAGATTCCTAGGATCAAGCTTTTGCAAGATCAGGTTAAAAGGAAAATAGGCTTATCTTAATAATCCTACATTGATAAAGTTTTGACCAGGTTTGGTATGCATAACTCAAAGAATGAGTTCTTGCTTTATTGATATGGATGGCTCTCTCTAGTAAGTAGTTTTTCAAGATTATCAAAGGAGATTGAGCAAATGAGACTGGAACAATATGTTTCGGCATATGAGAGTCTCATATATGCCATGGTCTATACCAAACAGGACATCCGCTACATAGTAGGGATAGTCAGTAGAGATCAGTCCAATACTGGACTTGACAACTGGTCTATTGTGAAAAATATCATTAAGTACCTAAGGAGAATCAATGATATCATACTCATTTATGGATGTGATGATATGGTCCTAGTCAGGTATGCTAGTTCTGATTTTCAATCAGAAGTAGATACTATGAGGTTCATGACTTAGTGTATGTTCACTTAATAGAAGGGAAATCAGTTGGTAGATTGTCAAGCAGATTTCAACTGTTGACTCAAACCTGCAGGTGGAATATGTTACAGCCTTAAAGGTGGCAATATAAGCCTATTGGTTTGATCTCACTGATTTAGAGGTTGTGGAGCATACTAGCCTGCCTATCGAGCTATATTACGACAATAGTGCAGAAGTAGTCCAAACCAATGACCCAAGGTTCCATAGATGAACAAAATACACTGATAGGAAGTATCATGTTCTATATGATATTGTCCGGCAAGAAAATGTACTTGTAGCTAAAACATTGTATTGGAACACAACTTTGTTGATCCATTATCAAAGGTGTCATTGATCAATAATTTTGATCATCATCTGGATAACATTGGAGTTAGGTGCAATTTGAATTGGCTATGAGGGCAAGTGGGAGCTGTTGGGATTTATATGCCCTGGCATAGCAAATTCCTGTTTGGATTAATTGACATATGTTCCTGACGTTTCTGAAATATTTATATTTTATACAATTGGTGAATTCAATGTATTATATTTCGATTCACTATGAAATTGATAGTGTCCATGTAATTACAAGAAATATTTATATATATGTATGTGATGGCAATCAATGCATGATATATAAATAGTAATTATAAATTGTTCATAGTCGGTAATTATGGATGGACTCATAATTAATTAAGACTTGAACTGGATCCGCGTTAGGTTGAGATATATTGCGAGAGCCGTCGTATGCAATTACTCCCTATCACCGTCATGGCATTTGACTCTTAAGCATGAGAAAAGTATAGACTCTTTTATTAATTAATAATTACTTTGATTTGTTCGGCGGATTCTTCGGGATCCTTAGACCGACACTTCGGGTAGTTATGTAATTAATAGTTAAAGGGTTATATTTTCAATATTTGCATCATTGCTACTTGTATTTATTTTGTATTAATTATGGTTGATCACAAAGTAAATTCGAAGGCCTTCGTATGATTTTAGACAAAATGATTTATTATATATTTATTTATTAAATTATTATTTTTGTCGAACAAATGTTTTATTGTGATTGAGTCAGAAATAATCAAAGGTACCAAAATAAATATATTAATTAAGTAGTTGGATTAATGACATTATTTATCCGATAACTAATTATGCATAGAGGGGTCAAAGTGCAACATTGGCTTAGAGGTTATTTATTATTTAATTGGAGTTCAATTAATTTCTTTTAGTGGAGTAGAAATTAATTTATGAATTAATTTAATTGGGTCCATGGACCGGGCCAATCATTAATTCATTGTAGCCAATAAAATAATAGGCCCAATGGATTCTCACTCATAGCCCAACTTGATATTGGAATCATATTAGATTTGAGACATGTGAATTAGAGATTGAGAAGGATTAGTTGTTTCCTTTTCTTTACCTTTATGTTGCCTATAAATATACATGGTCTATGTATATTTTAGGAGTGATTTTGATGAGAAGGAAAAAGGAATAAATTTTCTCTCTCTAGAAAATTAGGGTTTATGTTCTCATCTAATGGAGGCTCCCACAAGCCTAGTTTTCCAAGGTCATTCATAGAGGCATATGAGTGATTTCTAAAGGCAAAACAATTACCAAGAAGATGGAGATCCAAGGAGAATGCATCTTGCTAAGGGATCTACAATAAGTGAGAACATTCACTTTAGAGGAGAGATCTAAGGTTTACTCAAACCTTGATGTAAGTATTCAATCTTTTAATTGAATGATATATCATGTTTTATTTTTGCATAAAACTTGTCTCTATGTAATGAATCAAGATCTATGAATTTAAATCCCTCAAAAAGTTTTAAAACTAGCACGTTTCCCAACACAGAGTTAGACTATGGAAAGTAAGATTGAAATCTACATCAACCCGACGAAAAGTCGCTTGAGTAAAATTGAGTTCATGGACTAGGTCTGGGATAAAATGCAGTGGGTTTCAATGGTAGGAGCATTTTCTTTGCTCAAGTTTTCAACCTTAAAAATCCTTTATTTTACTTTTTAACAGTCACTATGGCCTCGGGTATTGTTTTTGTTATTAAAATAATATGAAAATCAATCAAAATAGCGAGGCAGACCTATTCACCTCTATAAAAATAGGATGAGGAAAAAAATGAGAGAAAATGGTTCTTAATTTAGGTCAGAAATTTTAGTTTTGTTTTGAGTTAGATGAAGCACTTTAATTGGAGGATGATACCATAAGAAGTGATTATAGTTTTCCTGTTAATTATAAATTAAATTAAGTGGACCGTCACAACATTCATAGACCTGCAGGCTATATAGGTAAGCAAATTGCAATCTATTTGAACAAGCTCTGCTAATGGATATTGAATATAATAAAGTCTGCAATATTATTATATTTTGTGTCTCCTGCAATTCTTCTTATTATTACAGATAACTATAGATCTCACACTTTTTCACTAAATTACAACAGCCTCAACATCCCAAACTGTCATCTCTCCTCTCTCTGTCTCTCTCTCTCTCTCTCTTTCTCTCTCTCACACACACACTCTCCCCTTCTCACACACATACACACAAAAAGGAGAGTTTTTGAAGTCACTCTCCCTCCTTCTCACACACACACACACACAGGAGAGTTTTTGAAGTTTACAGGAATATGGGTTTTTTTATTTTTTTTCTGGCTTGACCTCAGTGACACTGGTAATGTCTGCATGTCCCACCTTCTTCCTCAGGCCCTTAGTCAATTCGACGGCGTCAACTCCTTCTCCGATCACCACCACTTTATTCTTCTCGTTCCCTTCAAACCCCACAAAGCTTACACCTGCTTCACACTCCAAACTTCCATTAATCAAGCTATAAACCATTTTCTTGTGTCAATCAGATATTATAAACATATCGAGAATAACGATAAAAATAAGTATAACTTCATTCAAAAGTTCTATTAAATTAAGATTGATGTTAATAGTTACTGGACATATTTAAAAGCAAAAAAATAAAAAATGCTTTCAAACAATCGAAAAGCAATTCTGATTGAGTTTCACTAAGAAGATATTGAGAATAACGGGTATGCTTTAACTCTAAAAATTAAAAATTAAAAATTAAATAAAACTAATTAATTAAAAAAAATGAAATGTCAGCAATTATTTATGGCACCTATCCAGAGCTGGGAGCATACAAATGCGACAAGAATTGACCAAAAGAGTAAAGCCTGGTCTTCGCATCACCAGCGTCCAGTCTCACCGCCCAAACAAGTTACATCTAATAATGTACGAATTTTAGTTAGGCATTAGGTTCTAAGGTTAATAGGATCATTTTATCAATGATTTTTAAAATATTGAAATCATTGGAACTAAATTAAAGACCATCGATTTAATAATATGTTTCTGAACTTTGTTATATATATATATATAAATTCAAATTAATTTAAAATACTAGTTTAATTGAATCAACACTAGTTTAATTTTTTTAGAATTGAAACCCTTTTATCATAGAATTTGATTAAATTTTATTATTTTTTAGAAAAGCATGTGTACCGACTCCATAACACACGCACCATTCAAGTTAGGAGTGCGATTCGAAACTAAACTTCAAGGACTTACCTCTCGAATCTCTGTCAACACCGCTATACAATTGAAGACATAGAATTTAATTAAATTATATGATTCGATTCAATTTGATCCAATCCGGTTTCTTGTTTCTAATAGTTTTTAATGCAATTCTAAATAGGTAAGGTCAGTCGCGTAGTCAGAAATTTTTTTCTGTGGGGACAATCTTTAATAGCAATAATATATGTAATTTGTATCAAAACAATATATGTAAAAATTAAAACATTGATTCATTATATTTTTATTCAGTACATTCATAACGATTTTTTTCAGATTATTCATTGCTGTTTCAAAATTGAATTCATTTAATTAAATATACTAAACAAAATCATATTCAATGAATCAAGAATAAAATATGAAAAAGAAAATAATACAGTTACCAGTTCTAATATATCACATATGTAAAAAAAATAAAAATAAAAATCCATGATAACATTTAATCTGTGATTTCATTGATTTGGGGTGCAAATAAAAACAAATTCTAAGTGTTATTTAGAGAATAATAATTAGTAATACGATTACACAAACTAAATTTTAAAAGAACAAACAAGCCCTAAAATAATTTTGATAATAATAACTAATAAATTTTCACAATTAACTGAAGCTCCTCTTAATAATAAAATAGACGGCGCAATAAAAAATGCACCTATTGAAAAGCATGATAAGTGACTTCTAATGCGTTGGAGGTAAGATAAAAATTGTTAATTATATCGTTTTTCTTATTCTTTATTCAGATATCATCAACTAACTTTTTATGTATATGGAGGAGAAATGACAATGAAAAGAAGAAAAATTGATTAATAAAATTTACTTGTGAACAATTAAAAGAGCAGATAAAAAATTAATTAGCGAAGAATTCTAAAAAGGAAAAGATTTGATCTAACTAATCACTAATCAGGCATGAAGTTTCTTAATTTCTGTAATCCCCATATAAAATTATATTTTATGCGGTTGCAAGTATATGTACAAACCTTCCGCTTTCGCTACAACCTGAAGTGCCTTGCTTCGACATTTCTTGCATTTCATGGGCAATTGCATTACCATCTTTTGCTGCATAAACACACACGTGCCAAAAAAGATCAGATTTGTCTTGTTACCATTAGAAAAATAAAGTAATGATATAAATATGGATGGAATTTTTGTGACTTCAATTTGACAGTGTTCCAATAAGAAAACAACTCTCTTATGTGTATTCAAAAGTACGGAGTGACATTTATATCATTTTCTCATAAAATAAAATAAGAGAAAATTATATTTTGGTGGCCAAAATTAAACATAAATGCTCTATAATGACCTTAAAGTCAAGAAAAGATAAATAGTGATCAATGTTAAAACTTAATTGATATTAAGTGACCATTTGAGTATAATTTAGTCAAAAATAATTAAAAGTTTAATAAACATTTTAAAAATAAATTTTACATGACAAAATTGCCATCCAATATAAATAATAAGTCATTGAATTTATCCTCCTACTCTCTCTTTCTCTCTAATCCAACATTTTCTTTTTTTCCTTTTTAGTTTACAATTTACCAATTTAAAAAATTAAGATTTCGATATCAACATTATCTCTTTTCCACCCTTTATCTATTTTTCAAGGCTCTGCACCATCTCATATTTTCCTTTTTAGTTTACAATTTACTAATTTAAAAAATTAAGATTTCTTTATTAATATGATCTCTTTTCCACTCTTTATTTATTTTTCAAGACTCTCCACCATGAACGCTCATTATATTTACAGTGACAAATCATACTTTTAAAACACCTTTTAACAGTTGGCAAAATTATGAAATTAATCAACAATGGTCATTATTTCTTGAACTATAACTAAATAGTATTAAAAAATTCCTAAAAATTACAATCTTATATCTTAAGGAAGATCTCTCTGACAAATCAACTCGTAAAGTATAATAACTATACTTTAAAAATAATGAATAAGAAGAAAATTTACAATTTTCTTATCCTGTCTCTTAGAATCTTGAAAAACAATGTATAACATCCGTTCTCAGTTCTCTTCCATCTTGATCTTCTTTTCAGAAACTCAACCTAATAATTTGTTGTCTTTTTGTTAGTCAATTTAAATAAGTGTTTATTTATGTTAATGTAGAAGGTAAATTTGTCTACTTACATAATAATATATTATAAGAAGGCTATTTAGATAATAAATTATCAAATGGCCACTTAATATCAATTAAGTTTCAACATTGATCACTATTCACTTTTTCTTAACTTTAAGATCACTATATAGCAATTATATTTAACTTCAACTTAAATGGTAATTTCACTATTTAATTGTGCAATTATTCTAAAAGATTCCCAATTTAGCTTATATTTCTTTCTTTACGCGAATGTCAACGCAAGCACAACTAGGTCAAAAATTGGGTCTGAATGGAGAGAGTACATCCCCTCCTATTATGTTCTTCAGTCTGGCTAAAGTGTGGTGTCAGGAGGAGTGTTGAACCAAGATAATTAATACAAAAATATAAAGATATTTATTGATAATATTTCAATTCAATACTTTTATATATATATATTTGTTGAGCTTTCACATTCTGAAAACACAATTTGCGTAAACATATTTTGCCTCTCTTATTTCTCTCGTTGTTGGGTTTCACGACCAAGGATATTTTTATAGGCATGAAAAATTAAAATAACAAAAGAAGTTGTGGGAGGCAAAACTTAGCTATATGATAACATTTATTTGTTTAAATAAAATTTTTGTTTGTAGATTATAACAATTATATATATATATATATATTAATTAACGAGCCAGTGGTCTAGCGGTATCAGTTTCTTACCTCTCAAAAAGAGGATAGAGATTCAAGTCTCAGAAGAGACAAGTGTGTATATATACCAACTAAAAAAAAAAAAATCAAAACGACATCATTTTAATGTATGGATGGACACCCAATCCCCTATGAATAAGAGAGAATTTGTATTGCCCCGACGTGAGTGGTGGTGACCAAGGAATACAATGGAGTGTGACCGGGGAATATAATGTACCAAACTTTGTCAATGTAATTTACTTAACTTCTTTATTTTCTTTCTTTCTTGTTTTCATATTTTTATTTTTTTGTGTGGATGGTATATGCCAAAATGTAGTGACTCGCTACATAAATGTCTTATAAAAAAAAAACTACATAAATGTAGTATTTTTAACGTGACATGATATAACTTTATCAAAAATGGTGGTTCTGTCCACTGTTTATGGTGCCCACCGTCTGAAAACTTTTAAAAGAAAGAAGGGGGGGGGGGGAATAAATAAACAATTGAACAATTGTGATAAGATTGATGTGTTGTAACTTTTCTATTAGCCATTGAAATTGTTTTGCCACGTCAGTAGCTGAAGTTAGATGGAACTTAAAACGGTACCCTTTAATTTAAGGGTGAAAAAGAAATTTACTTTTTCCATTAATGGCTCATTAACGTTTTGTCTTCGGGTTGAACAAAATGATAGTTTAAGGGAGTTTTACTTACTCCAGAAGATTTATTGTAATCTTATTATAGTTTAGTAAAATCTAATGCACTTTATAATTTATTCTATATTAATAATACCATTATTCAGTGCACAAAAGTCTTACTCCCTTCGTACATAATTTTTCGGGTCGTTTTCGGAATGGGATGTGATTAGACCAATGGAAATAATGGGATAAGAGCATCCGGGACGCAAGTTGCTTTGGAGAGAGGGTGTCAATGTAGAGATAGAGGGGTGGTGTGGAGAAACAAGTGGAGTGTTTTTTTTGTAAGCCCTATAATGACTATCTATTGGGTTGTCTAAAGATGGAGTGGGTTTTGGAGAATACGTTACAAATTTTTTTCTTTGTTTAATTGCCTGTGGCTACTGTCTTGTATCATTGGGTTGTATTCAAATTTTTTATTTTATTTTTAAATTAAATTAATAAAATAATAAATAGAGAATAAGATAATTGGGTTCTACACCATAGAACATGTGGATTAAAAAAAAAAAGAAAAAAGAATACCACATTATCACTTTTTAACTTATATAATACTCTACTTTTTAAAAGCAAATGACGTAAGTCGTTAGTAATTCGTTCTCGGGATGTGACGTGATTAGACCAATGGAATGTGAGGTGATTAGACTACTGGAAATAATGGGATAAGAAGCAAATGACGTAAGTAATTGGGTGGCTAGCCAAAGAGTCGACTTCATACCCAAAGTCAAGTTATTTGGTATCCTTAAAAAAAAAGAAAAAAAAAAAGAGGTTATTTGGTATCCAAGTATTAGAAATTTTGAATTTTCTTCAAGAATGAACACAGATCCAAATTAGACACTATTTTCGTATTCCAGATGGGCACATTAATAGCGTTTAAAACTTTGTCACCAAGAAATAAGGGTGGGTCGAGCTTTAAGTGAGTTAGGCGGCCGCTTAAGGTCCTAACCAATAAAAATACCCAAATCTTATTGAACACTAATTCTAAAAAATTTATCTTTTAAAATAACTCTCTTTTTTTTTTTCTTTTTTTTTTTTCGCACTCCTTATCATCATTCATGCCATTCATTAAACTTTAAACAAGAGAAAAATTATTGGGAAAATTATATTTTAGTGACCAAAATTAAATATAATTGCTATATAGTGACCTTAAAGTCAAGAAAAGGTGAATAGTGATCAATGTTGAAACTTAATTGATATTAAGTGACCATTTGATGGTTTATTACCTAAATAGCCTTCTTATAATATATTATTATGTAAGTAGACAAATTTACCCTATACATTAACCTAAATAAACACTTATTTAAATTGACTAACAAAAAGACAACAAATTATTAGGGTGAGTCTCTGAAGAGAAGATCAAGATGGAAGAGAACTGAGGACAGATGTTATACATCGTTTTTCAAGATTCTAAGAGACAGGACGAGAAAATTATAAATTTTCTTCTAATTCATTATTTTTAAAGTATAGTTATTATACTTTACGAGTTGATTTGTCAGAGAGATCTTCCTTAAGATATAAGATTGTAATTTTTAGGAATTTTTTAATACTACTTAGTTATAGTTCAAGAAATAATGACCATTGTTGATTAATTTCATAATTTTGCCAACTGTTAAAGGGTGTTTTAAAAGTATGATTTGCCACTGTAAATATAATGAGCGTTCATGGTGGAGAGTCTTGAAAAATAAATAAAGGGTGGAAAAGAGATCATATTGATAAAGAAATCTTAATTTTTTAAATTAGTAAATTGTAAACTAAAAAGGAAAATATGAGATGGTGGAGAGCCTTGAAAAATAGATAAAGGGTGGAAAAGAGATAATGTTAATATAGAATTCTAAATTGGTAAATTGTAAACTAAAAAGGAAAAAAAGAAAACGTTGGATTAGAGAGAAAGAGAGAGTAGGAGGATGAATTCAATGACTTATTATTTATATTAGATGGCAATTTTGTCATGTAAAATTTATTTTTAAAATGTTTATTAAACTTTTAATTGTTTTTGACTAAATTATCCTCAAATGGTCACTTAATATCAATTAAGTTTCAACATTGGTCACTATTTACCTTTTCTTAACTTTAAGGTCACTATAGAGCAATTATATTTAATTTTGGTCACCAAAATATAATTTTCTCAAATTCAAATTACATATCAACCAAAAGTCAGATCTGACCCACTTTCCAAAGTTCCAAACGTGTCCTCACATAGTTGCTGCCAAAAACCACGTGTTATCACAAGCTTTTGCTGCAATACTGACAAATAAATCTATACAAACGTATCAAGGTGGGACCCCAAAAAAAAGCACACGTGGAAAGGTGTCAAGCCTCAACGGCCATTGGCACTGGAACTTCACCACTGATCCATACTCTCATTCCTCATCTTCCTCTTCTTCACGAGCAAAGCACACTCTCTCTCCTCTCTTTCTCTATCTACTGGTTTATTTGTCTGATCACACAAAAACCACCATGGCAGTTTCAATCCCAGAGGCCACCAATCTGAACAACACATCCAACGACGGTGGCGGAAACGGTCGCCAACAACACGACACTCAGTCCTTCGCCTCTGTTGAGGTCCAGGAGCTTCCCCACCTCACCGACTACCTCCCATACCTC